CTAGGGACTTGGTCTTCCTTCCTCTCAGCACAGAATAACCTTTGGGGGAAAGGATGACATACACATCTATGCTTTTTCCCATCTGGGCTTTTTACATCCTGCTAGCAGTGAACACATTGTGCTAACTAGTGGGGTCTTATGAGAGGAAGCAAGTCCCATCACCACTTCCTCTTGGTTTGATAGGATGGTGACAGATCTTGAATTTCCTTAGGAACCAAAAGCATCCCACTCCCTGCCCTTGTACCACATCACAAGGAAGTCCAGCACTTCCTGCCTTTACCCCAGCCCTTCTCTGTGGTAGGCTTGGAGGATACAACGGAGATGCCATCTTCTGAGAGATACTAGGTGGGCAACAGGGATCCCTCCCATCTACTCGAGAATAACCTCTTTATCTTCCTGATTCCCAGTTTTTTTCTTCCCCTAGTCCACTTCCAAATTCTACCTAACCTATTGCTAAGCACTAGGATGCCCCTGCCCTGTTTCTGTCTCCAGGCCCCTGCTCTTTCTCAAGCTTCATACATTCAGAGCTCTCGCTGAGATTTATCCTGCTGCTTCCAGTTCCAAGAACACCTGCTCCACACCGATGATCGGCAACTTCGACCATCTGGGCTCTCACACTGTCTCCACTCCTTGGTTACTGAGAGGAATTTTCTATGTAACTTCCAAAACCATCTCTACCTCCGGCTTCCCAGCTTTGACTCTCTAATCTCCCTTTCCTCTTTGAAGCCATGGCCCTTTCCCAGCTCCTCACTCATTCCTTTTGGTCTTTATTCACACTCACATGTATATGGGAGAAGCTTTCTTCTCTTAACCTTCATTCATAACACCACCAACAATATGTGGTTCTTAACCTCTTCAATGCTGCCTGCTTGTTCTCTCTCCTTCCATACAACATTGATTTAGAAATCCTTCACTTCCTTCTCTTAACTCCATCTTTTTCCATCAACAGTCAAAAATGTTTCCTATCTTTATATTTTATTTATTTATTATTTATATTTTATTTATTTATCAATGTGTATTATTAGTGTTTGCCTGCATGTAAATGTACCCATGTTGTGCAATGCCCAAAGAGGCCAGAAGAGGGCATCAGATCCCCTGGAACTGTAGTCACAGATGGTTGATAGTCACCTTCTGGGTGCTGGGAACTGAACCTGAGTCCTCTGCATGAGCAGCCAGTGGCCTTAACCGCTGAGCCATCTCTTCATACTCTTTTTTTTATCTTTAAAAACAACAATGAAATAAAACAACCTTGGCAGACGGTAGTCTTGTCATTGCCGAGCCCCCTGCCCCCTGCAGTATGCTCAATAAACCTACTTTCTTAAAATACAGAAAAACAAAACAACAACAAAAATCAAAGACCCCTTTTTGGATCCCCATCCCCTTCCCATGATTACACATCTATGAAACAAGGTCCTTGAAGGAGCTGAGTATTCTTGCTGCCACCAGTTGCCTTCCTGCCATCCTGCTTGAATCCATGTAAGTCATGTCTGTTCCTTTATCACTCACTGAAACCTGTTCTCAAGACTATGATTAATCTATGCATTGTGCAATCTAATGATCAACTCCTCATTTTAAAAAAAATTCCAAGTTTAATTATTCCTCCTTAAAATTTTCATTTCCATATTGGACAAAATAGATCAAAATGTATTTGTGCAAATTACCTTTAAAAATAGTGTGGCTTAGGGGCTGGAGAGATGGCTCAGGGGTTAAGAGCACGGACTGCTCTTGCAGAGGACCTGGTTTTGATTCCTAGCGCCCACATGGCAGCTAACAACTGTCCATAACTCCAATTCCAAGGAATCAGACACCCTCTTCTGACCTCCTCAGGCACTGCACAACTTAGGTGCACTTACATGCAGGCAATACACTCATACACAAAAAATAATAAATAAAATTTAAAAAATAGTATGGCTTAAAAATAATCAATTACTTCTCCATTATAATATCCAAGCACACTTTAGCCATCAATCTGCTTTAACCACTGTTCAGAAGCACATGAAATCAGTATACATCTATAGGAGATACTAACCAAATGTCCCTGTCCCAAACAGAAGTATTAGGATACCACTGGAACAAATTAACTTCCAGGATTTTGGTAAAGATAACAAACATGAATATAATTCGAGACATAAGATTTATAGGGATTGCCCCTTCACTTTATGTAGTAGAGCTCTGCAATAGAACATCTGTCTGACTTGGAGGAATTACAAGAAACAGGTGGGGGGCTGGAGAGATGGCTCAGCGGTTAAGAGCACTGACTGCTCTTGCAGAGGACCTGGGTTCAATTCCCAGCACCCACATGGCAGCTACGAACCGTCCTTAACTTCAGTTCCAGGGGAATCTAACACCCTCTTCTGGCCTCCTCAGCATTGCACGACATGGGTGCACTCACATACATGCAGGCAATATACTCATACACATAAAATAAAAATAACAAAAAAAAATTTAAAAAAGAAACAGGTAGCTACAACTTTCTGTCCTCTTCCTATCATGCATACAAAACAATCATGTAATTTTCAAAATAATTTTTAAATAAATCTAGCCAATTATTTCTTCAAAACAGTAAGGTCTAACATATGCTTTAAACAATCACAATAAGGTTAAGTTTACATGCGGTAGTATTGAAGAGAAACTAAAGTCATATGTTCAAGTATGAAAATCTAAAGTACCCCTGCAGTGAAACTGCTTCAGAGAAAAGCTACTGCTTGACAGGCATCCTGAGCAGCAAATAGATCTATACATAGATTGTCCTGCACGTCACTCCACCAACTGTTAATTTTAGTTACATTAATTACAAGTCTATAAGTCAGTTACAAGTCTACAGGTTTATGTATTGGTAGTAGGTGCGTCTTCTCAATAGGACTTTTAGGAGACCCTTTGTACCAGACCCTTTCTTTTTTCTGACAGTTTCCTTAGGACTCTATTTTTTATGCCAGAAGAAAAGCATACATTGTTATTTACAACACATTTTAATACATAATGATTAGTCAGATCATCCAAGGGAAACTTTGCCATCAGATTTGTTCTCCTGTTTACAAAGTCTACTAGATCCAAGAGAAGCATGCACAGGATCTGGGCATCTCTTCATTTTGAAGAAAGACTTAGAAGTTAACTCCATACTTGGATTTGAAACTGCATCATTTGACTTATCACATGATTAGACATCTGTTCTTTAGGACCTGATTTAGTAAATGAAACAGAGTTTTTTTTTAATGTATTTTCTACACAAGAGGGAAGAGCACTGTCACAGCTCACGACTTAACCAGAGGAGAAGCTGCATCACTAAGGACTGCCAGCTTCTGCCTCAAAGGTTGTCTGCCATACTCCAACAAGGAATTTATTCTTCTGACACACTGATGGCCAGGAGTATACTGATCTTTAAGAGGCAGCTCCTCATCTTACTTGACCGACTGACTATTTTTCATTTAGTCGGTAATTTTCTCCTTGAAATATTTTCCTTTTCCTCTCCTGGCTTCCAGGATGCTCTACTCTTCTGGCTTTCCTCCTACCTCACTGGCTTTTGCTTCTGAGTGCCCTATGCCCTATGCTGGTTCTTCCTTTATGATTTTTCTACTTTTCTTCCTTTCTTTTCTTTATTTCCTTCATTCATTCCCTCCTTCCTTTCTAATGTCTAAAATATTTTATTGAAAATATTCTGAAGTATATGAAGTGCTAGTTTTAGTAGAACCAACAGAATAAGTAAATTGTAAAAAGGAGAGATCAACACAAGACTAGATTGCACATTTTTAAGAGGAAAGGTGGGTAGCTCATTTCTTCATGGAAAACCACAACAGAATTCAAGCCTGATCTATACCTTCAGTATACCTTAAACAGGGGGCCTTTGGGGGCTGTAGAGATGGCTCAGCAGTTAAGAGCACTTGCTGCTCTTCCAGAAGGCCTGAATTCAGTTCCCAGCACCCACATCAAGCAGCACACAACTACATCTAACTACAGTTCTGTGCTGGATAGCTTTAGTGTCAACCTTGACACAGCTGGGTTGAGGGAGCCTCAATTGGGGAATTACCTTCATTGAACTGGCCTGTGGCCATGTCTGTGGGGCATCTTCTTGATTGTTGAGTGATGTGGGAGGGCCCAGCCCACTGTGGGTGGTGCCATCCCTGGGCAGGTGGGCCTGTGTTGCATAAGAAAGCAGGCTGAGCAGGGGCCAAGGGAGCAAGGCAGTAAGCAGCATACCTCCATGGCCTGTGCTTCAGCTCCTGCCTCCAGGTTCCTGCCTTGAGTTGATACCTTGGGCTCCCTGATGAACTGTGACCTGGGAGATGTAAGCTAAATAAACCCTTTCCTCCCCAAGTTGGTAGTGGTCAGAGTATTTTGTCACAGCAATGAAGAAACAAACTAGAACAAGTTCCAAAGTATCCTATGCCCACTTCTGACCTCCATGGGCATTTCATACATGCACTTATATACGTTCAGTCAAAACACTCATACACATAAAATAAAAATAAATAAATCAAAAATGTATAGGAAAGCATTAAAATAAACTTAAAATCAAAACAAGCAGCCTTCCTTCTACGTTCAAGCCCCTTTATCCATAGGAGTTATGTAGAGTGCTGATTCAACTGCAATGAAAGGCAGATATAAGCTCCTATACTACATGGATAGCATTTTCTACTTCCTTTGCCCCACACAACAATGGAAACAAGAAGAAAATACAAGTAGCTCTTTGCTTATAGGTATAGAGTATATTTGGAGAATACCATACCTCATTTGCATGTTAATGGAAATGATGGTTGACAGCCTTTGTTAGGGAGAAGCAGAGGCTTAGGAATCTACAAACTTTTTTTTGCTTGAAATGTGTAGTCTTCCTGTGTAAACTAGTGCCTTCTGCAGAGGTGAGAGTTGAGATCTGGGATAGATTTCTTAGCTGGATGACATAAATAAATTATAGACAATAATTGAAAGCAGTTATAAAGAGGTCTAGGACCCATGGTTGGTTAATGGAGGGAGTGCTGCTGGGGCTGTGTAGGCATTAAATGGAGTCACATGTTCTTAATAGGGAGAGCTTGGTCTTTAGGGTGTTTTGTCGTCTTTTCCGTGTTAGCTTCATCCTCTTGGTCTTTAGAAGCTTGATTCTTCTCAACCTCTTTCGTCCTGGGTTTGGCCACTGTCTCGGAGTTAGAGAGGAGAATGGGTTCTTCGTGCCTTTCACATTTCAATTCAGGGTTAATCCAGTGTGAAAAGAATGTCATCTTATTTTCCACTTCAACTTCTGGAGCTGGAAAGGGGGAGCTCTTGTGAGAATAGTCTTCCCTACCGGCCCCTCCATCTCTTTGCCCTGAAGGTTCCGGCCCCACCAACTTTCACCCTCTAAGACACTGCCTGCAATCAATTCACCTTGAAAATGTGGTAATTAAAAAATATCGCCTTTTTGGAGCTGGAGAGATGACTCAGCAGTTAAGAGCACTGATTGCTCTTGCAGAGGACCCGGTTTCAATTCCCAGCACCCACATGGTGGCTATGAACGGTCCTTAACTCCAGTTCCGGGGACTCCGAAGCCCTCTCTGACCTCCACAGCATTGTACGACATGGGTGCAGTCACATACATGCAGGCAATATACTCATACACATAAAATAAAAATAATAAAATTTAAAAAAATATATAGCCCTGTCAAATACTTAGTCTTACAAATGTTGGCCCAGCAAATGATAGCGCAACAAGTTGGTATTGTAAGGTCTGGCCCTATAAGATCTGGGCACCCCAGGCTGAATATTCTCAGGAACCTTTGTTTGGGTGAGATCATTCAGCTTAGCCTAATTAGCTGTATGGATTATTTTTGTTTGTTTTTTTGTCCCAAGGAATCCTGAAGGATGTCTGGGAACTCTAAGAAATTGCTGGCAGAGCAGTAAGTTGAGGGGAAAGAGAGATGGCTGTGCTACGGATGGATACAGATCCTTCCCAGTCCCTACTCACTGAAGGCACTATCTCACCTAAACTAAAACCCTATCTGAAAAAGAGTGTAGAGATACATTTGGAGAGTCTAGGGGCTCTGGAGTTCTGCTTAGAAATCCTCTACTGGTCACTCAACTTCAGCAAAGTGGATGTTTGTGCTCTGTGATCTGTCGTTTGAATTTCACAGGGCCCCATTTTCTCTGCTGGGGTAAGGACTGGCCTTCACCCTCAGGGGTCCAAAGGGTCTTCCAGGTTAAACCATTCACTTTGGCATCCAGCTACACACAAAGAACCTGTCATATCCCCTGGACTGTGGGATGTGCGAGGCCCAGTGGGCAGAACTTTGGGACAACACACCCAGTCTAGGTGCCTTTGGCTGTGCTGCATTGTCTTCAGTCCAGCTGAAAACGCCTCTTTTAAGTCCATTTATTCTAGATCTTAGGGATATGGGATACCTGGCAGGGTAGAAGTTTCTAGAGCAATTTTTTGTTACTGTTGTTTTGCTTGCTTGTTTGTTTTGGTTGTTGAAACTCCTAACAGTCTCCTATGTGGAGATATTCTTTTTTATTAATTTTTATTTTATTTTATGTGTATGCATGTATTGCCTGCATGGAGGTAAGTGCATCCATGTCATGCAATGCCCACGGAGGACAGAAGAGGCTGTTGGATCCCATGGAACTGGAGTTAAGGACAGTTGTTAGCTGCTATGTGGGTGCTGGAATTCAAACCCGGGTCTTCTGCAAGAACAACCAGTGTTCTTGACCGCTGAGCCATCTCTCTAGCCCCGGAGATATTCTTTGGGATACCCAAAAGTGTTTCCTGCACTCTTATCTTTATGAAATGTCTCCAAATGTATCTATAGGAATTTCTTTTTCAGGATGAAATTTGGTTTGGGGAAGATGGGTGCCTTGAGGATGAGTGGGTGTCAAGAATCATCCCTCTAGAGGCTCCATCTGTACTCAGCTGTGTGTCAGCCGGGAAAACCTATACTGTACACATTCTACACAAGGCTCACTGGCATTTCAAACATTTGACCTGGATTTAGTACACCACTGGACAAGTAAGATTGAACCAGCGATTCTAAAGGGTTTAGGCACCATCTCTGTGATTGCATGTTGGCTAGGATTACCAGGGTAATGGCCCAGAGAGAGCCACAAAATATCAAGCAGACTTGGTAGGAAAGCAAACTTGTTTCCAGCTTCTCAATGCCCCCCAGGACAAGATCCAGGCAGCTCAGAGTCATCAATAACAGCATCTGGTGAGACTTTCTACTGGTCAAGACTTGTCAGGATTCAGGCAGTCTGATTTGAGTAGGAGCTGATTACTGCCTATAGGTCTTAGACTTGTTTTCCAGAGGACAGGGGAACCAAGTTGCTGCCAGGATTGCTGGAACACTATAGAACAATGATTCTCAGTCCCAGAAACTATAATGGGGACAGGCATGGTGCCCTGGCAGATCTCCCTACATCTAATTTATGTGGCTCTGCCACAATGCTTTGGCCTGAGCAAGAAACTATGAACTAGCCCTGCCGATACAATAGACAGTATAGGCCACATTGTCCTCACTGGCTTCTGGGGCTCAGGCTGAAAGAAACTGGCCAAAGGTTGGGACTGTGCTGCTTCAGGGCAGGGGCTGCTGGCCAGCAGGGGAAAGGAGCAACTGGATAGAGTGCTGGATCTTTTTAAAAAGGCCCCAGCAATGGTATATCAACCTGTTTCAACTACTTCTGGAGGTGAAATCCAGCAGTCTGCAGGCACACTCCAGGACAGTGCTACACCACTCTCTTGGGGTCTGAGACAGGCCACAACATGCCTTGTTGTGGAGAGAACTCCACAATACCTAGCCCCACTGGCACTAAAGCTGCCACAGTCAACAGTATTAACACCAAGACTTTTGGCCAGAAGTGAGACACAGGTCTGGGTTTCTCAGTAGAGATGCCCAAATCTCGGAATGAGGGCAAAGTAGAGGAAAATTTTGGCAGTATGGAGATGAAGGAATAATTGAATACAAAAGGCCCATGGATCCCCAATTGTGGAGAGATCTCTAGGCAGACCAAAAACTCCTTGTGCAGAAGATAAATGATGGAAAGGGACCTAGAGATAGCATGCTGAGGCCTCAGTGTGATTCCCCTAGGCAATGAATAGAGGCCACTTAAAAGCCAAAAGATGACCTGGGTAGAACTTGAGCCACAAGGATAGGCTTGGGATCTTCTCTGTAGTGGCCTCCTGTTAATGCTAGAGTCAAGAGAAGTAACATTGAGGGTGAAAGAAAAGCTGCTGGTCGTTGGTTTTGCTGGCTTTTGAAAACAGGAGGTGGAGAAGTGATGTGTCATAAGCTGCCCCACGAACTCTTCCACAGATCAAGAAGAGCGCAATGTGAAAACATATACATTTATATCCTCCTAAACTCACAGGCACCTCAGGGCCTTCGGACATGGAATGGCAGCTTCAGGAAATGTGGATTCATGGGGTATTGCTTTAAGTTCAGGAAGCTCTGGGTCCAGGGAAAAAGAAGGCATCTAGTATTCAAGGGCTGCTGACCTTTTTGCTTTGAGACACTTGAGGTATTGTTCTTCCTCCTCTTTTGCTGTTTTGAAGGAGCCCCAGGCTCTTCAAGACTTGAAGAAGACTGAGAACCTGCATCCTGGGACACTTTAGACCCTTGAAATCCCTGCTTTCGCTTATGGTCAGAATTGTAACACTGGACGTTGGCATCATCAGTTGATGGGGCAGCTGACTGAGTTGACAATTTCTGACCTGTTAACTGTGATGATGTTTGGCCAAATACCACTGAAAGGTTTCTGGAGTGCTGGGAGGAAAGCTCCTGACTCTTCTCAAACATCACTTTTGATGTAGACAGTGTGTCCAGGCAAGAAGAGCTCTGTGACGGCCTCAGTAAAATAGGGGAGGGCTTTTTGTTCTCAAATCCCAACAATTGCTGAATCTCCAGAGCCACAGCATTGCAGATTTTGCAGGAGGGATCTGCACACAAGAGCTGCCGCACACTTCCCTCCTGAGGAAGCCAGCCCTGGCTAAGAAGGGAAATGGCAACCATTAATGACAGCATAACATCTGCCTCCTTGGAAGTGGCTAGAGATTGCTTCCCTCCCCTAGCTCATCAGGTCCTGGGTCTACACCCTTTGTCATCTATCACTCTGCTTTTCTTTCTAGGAAAATTCCATTTGATAAGGTATGGTGGGTTTAGCTGAGAGTCTGGAGAAAGGTCTCAGAAAACCCATCAGCGGCGATAACCCTCAGAGAGGACTAGGAATTGGGTTAGTTTTCTGCCAGCCTTATTGAGAAATTGAACTAGGAGAAAAGAACCAGGCAGATAGGGATGTCAAGGGTTAGCTAATGGGGCATCAGGTATGGCCTGGATCAGTTTCATTAGGGGACAAAGAAACTTGATGCCTGGTAGTCAGTATGTCTAAATTGTGGGGAATGAAGTCCTCATTCTAAGAACCATGGGATGTCCATGTCCCTCCTGCTATACCCAACAGGGAATAAATCTCATTCTTTAGAAGTCACCAAAAAAAAAAAAAAGAAAAGAAAAGAAAAAAGAGGATAGATTGAGGGTGTCCCAGGAACTGGCCTCCTTGACTTGAGACTAGAGGAGGTATTGTGTCAGCAGAGTCCAGCCAGAAACAGGGCTCTGCCCTTGAAAGGGTGTAACTGTAAAATATATGGCTGAAGCATGGTGGCACATGCCTTTGATCCCAGCACTTGAGAAGCAGAGGCAGGTGGAAATCTGTGAATTCAAAGCCAGCCTGGTCTATGTAATGAGTTCTAGGCCAGTCAGGGCTACATAGTGAGACCCTGTCTCAAAAAAATAAAATTAAAAATAAAAATATGCAGCTGATGACTTCTTTATGTAACATCTAATCTCTTGATTTGGATAACTTGTCTCAGTGCAGAGAGTAATGCCAGTAACGTCTTTTACAAATTATGTACTTGTTAATCCTGAATTGCAGAGCTAGTAGGACCCAACCACAGACTAAAATTGGGTGGCTCTTCCCTCTAGAGACATGCAAACCGTCCCTACCCTGGCAACCCTCTAAGCTAGTGAACTAATGCACCCTGTGATATATCTCTTCCAGTCAACATCCCTGTCCTCGTCCTTGCATAGGCCAGGCCAAGAAGCCATCACAGACCAGGCTGGGAGTTGGGAGCCTGCAAAGAGCAAGAAGTCACCTTTTCATGGTAGAGAGCAGCTTCTGAAACTTCTCAGCTTCTTCTTTGGATGTTCTCATAACTGAGGAAGGGGGATATAATGTTAGGTAGAAGATGAGGGACCAACCCATCAGAAGCTGAAGGCCTTTCAATGACAGGAGACTGAAATCCCAAGGGTCAACGATCTAAGTTAAGTCTATGTACAACTTAACTATCTATGGTTCTGCCCCATACTTAATCTCATTTGATCTCCACAACCACACTGAATGTGTATTTGATGGAGAACAAAGATAGAGATGAAGAGACTCTCCCGGGACTTTAAAACTAGCAAATGACAGAATCAAGGACATCTGCTCTATGTCCTTATCCTTATTCTAGGGACTATCAGATAGAAAATTCTGAAATACTCCTAGTCTCTGATTTCTCATCCAAGTATGTCATCTTTTACTTGTCTTTGAGATTTATATTGCAGCCTCCAGTGGTTGGAAATACCAAGGCTTCAAATCCAGCAATCACAGAGGGTCAGGATCTATGGAAACCTCACCCACAGGGGTAAAGAGTCAAAAATTGGGATTTACCTCTTGATGTTCTGTCTCTAGGCCTTTGTTTGACTCTTCGGTGACACTTAAAAGACAAAAACATTAGAATATGAAGCAGAAACACTGTTTTTCATGTGTAAAATGATAAAATCCATAAACCTTTCCTGACCTTTTTCTATACACCAGTTTTTATTCTCTGTCTTTCCACCCCAGCTCTTCTTTCTCTGCTTATTTCTAACTCACTCTGAGGCTCTTGCATACACTGTACCCCCACCCCATTCTATGGATAAGTTCCGTGGGGAACTCAGGAGGCAGAGGGGGAAATGTTTAAGGATGGGCAATACTAGTAGAAAAAAGACTTCAGTCATCAAAGGCCCTACACGTCTACCATCCAGGATAATGACCCAAATTCAGAGCTGATGTAGGATCCAGGGAAGAAATTTTAGTTTAAAAATCAAGGGGTGGGGATAGAGAGATGACTCAGAGGTTAAGAGCACTGGCTGTTCTTGGAGAAGATCAGGGCTCAGTTTCCAACACCCACATGGCTGCTAACAGCTGTCCTTAACTCTAGTTCTAGGGGATCCTACACCCTCTTCTGGCCTCTGTAAGCACTGCATGCATGTGGTACACATGTGGGCAATACACTCAGACAATTTTTTTTTTAATCAAGGGGTTTAAAAAATGTCAAAAGTATTTGGGAGTTCTTATCTAATCCCTAAAAGATTTTAGGGTTACCTCTTCAGAGGGGGGAATGTTAGAGTAGCAAAATGTCCCATTTAAAAAAAAAGACTTAAAGACAGAGTACACGAAGTTGTTTAGGAAAAAGTGATAGGGAGATATCAGAGGAGTTGGAGGGAAGGGAGTGGGCATGGTTTTGATCAAAACACCTTGTATGCATGTATGAAATTCTCAATAAATTTTTTTAATTAAAAAAAATCAAGGGGTAAGATAATGAAGAGATAGGGATCAAAATCTTCTTGTAGGAGGTGTATTCAGGCCTGGTAGTAGTAGTTCCCTACCTTGCAACAGTTCTTGATAGGTTCCAACCTTAACCCTCCACGACTCCTTTTCATGTGCCAAATAATTAATACAATAATGAAGATGGATCCATAAGTATATAAATGATATCCTGCATCCCATAGAACTAAGGTGGGCATCAACATGATCGAACTTCAGTAGCCATTCCTTTTCTTAGGCTTCCAGACTATTAGAACTTAATGCCTCTGGATTCTAGACTTTGTCATCTCTGCCTCACAGAAGATACATCCAGGCCGCCAAACTACATCACAAAGCCCTCTTGTTCGACAAGTAGGCATAGAATTGCAAAACTTTATCTATCTTAGAGAAACCCATGTGGTGATTGAGTGTTCAGATGAAGTGTGTGGTTGTCTATATAGGCTGCAGAGCCAGGGATGAAAGATGCTGTGATCACACGTAGTGCATGTGCCCCTTTACCCCTACTCCCTGTACCTGCAAGTTCACTGTTAGCTCAACAGTCTGGCATGTTTCTCCAGATAACTTGAGTCTTTCTGCACACTGTGTATACTTTAAGCAAGATAGTGGCTAAGTTAAAGAAATGCCATAAATTACATTATCTGTACTGGGAAAATAACTAAAAATCACACAACAGACCGAGTGGGCATCAGATTGCTAAATCTTAGAATCATATATATTTGGTCTTTTTGAGACAGGGTCTCCCTGTAGCTCCAGCTGTCCTGGAACTCGCTATGTAGACCAGGCTGACCTTGGACTCACAGAGATCCGCCTGCCTCTGCCTCCCGAGGGCTGGGACTAAAGGCATGCGCCACCACATCCAGCACTGAATCATATTTTTAATATCACAGGCATTGATGGGTAGGTTCAGGAAGAAGATCATTTAAGTGAGTCATAAAAACATAGAAAGCTGCTGTCCTTTGAAATATTTCTCAGAGTAAAGGGCTCATCCTAGGTTTGTTCGGGGTCCGAGGAATTCCCCAAATTGACCACTCGGATACTGAGTCTCAGTAAACAGAAGCACTTTATTGAGGCCAACCAGCTGGGGAGACAGACTCGGGAGCTGTACTGTGACCCTGAATAGTGAAAACGCAGGGCTTTTAAGCAGAAAACCCACAAAAACCACAAAGCAGGGGATATCCATAGAAACTATACACAGAATAACCAGGAAAGGATTGGAACAATCTAGGGCTGATTTCTGGAGACTTTACCTATACAGTCATTGGCTGTCTTACCGGGGGCAGAATGTTTTCTCTTCTGCCCCAGATTATTCCCATAGAGACCATACACAGATGTATCAAGCATACCGTCATTGACTAGCTTGCCTGGGGCAGAACGTTCTATCTCCTGCTCCAGACCATTTCCATAGAAATCACAAACAGATACCAGGAAAGGGGTTGAACAATGGAAGGGGATTTCCAGAGTCAGGTGGAGGGCAGCTTTTTCTGAGAGGCCAGGGAGAGGGTCTGAGGGGTACTCTCTTTCATTCCTCCCTTTAGTTTTTGGAAATTCTTGAATCAAACCATTGATTCATGTTTCGTCTAGGGGGTTGTAATGGCTCCCATTGATTCATATGTAGCGTCCAGGGGATTATAATCAGCCCTCATAACCATCAGTTGTACAGCAGAGACCCTTTGTTTAACAAACTTAACTAGAGCATTTAGGATACAGGGTCCAAAGATTAACAATGCTATAAAGATTAAGAGAGGACCAGCTATTGCAGTGATAAGGGTGGTAAGCCAAGGCGACCAGGAGAATAGAGACTTGAACCAGTTCTGGGAAACTTTTCTAAGTTCTTCTCATTCTAGGAGACTCTGTTTTACCTGTGCCAGGGTGTCCTTAATCACATCTGAATGGTTGGCATAAAAACAACATGTTTCTCCTAGAGCCATACCGAGTCCACCCTCCTTAAGAAAAAGTAGGTCTAAGCCCCTTCTATTTTGAAGGACTACTTCAGCTAAGGAGTCCATTTGTTGTTCTAAATAGGAAGCAGTGGCATGTAATCTCCTGATATCTTTATCAACTTGTTCACTTAAAACTTTTAAGTTTCGGTCGCTTGTGACCCAGGCTGCTGTTCCGATGGCAGCAAACCCAGCTATCCCTGTCCCCACAAGGAGAGGAACCAAAATAGAGGCTGCCGTAGCTCTTCGAGGCTGAGAGAGACCCATATGATATCTTCCGCATTCCCCTCATAGTAATAAACCTGGAGCATAACCTGTACTAGTACACAAAATTCCTGTCTTCCTATGAAATACTGGGGGTGTAAACAAGGGGTTAGGCCAGAGGAGCAAGCAAACCAAGTGGAATGGGGCAGGGGGGGCAGCAAGCAACTGGGTGTCTCTTATAGACCAGGTGTTTCCTGGTACTGTATAGAACTGATTACAAACCTCGAGGTAAGGGGAGGTAGTTAACAGATATTCTTTTGACATAGCTCCTGCCCTTTCAGATCCCCTAGGGTAAAAGCAGTTTCCCAGGGACATGAAGCAGTGTCATTCAGGGGCACTATTTTTAATTCTTGTCTTTTTGCAGTGAGAGCAAAAAGTAGGGTGGTCAGGGATCCAGGCAGAGCCAGCAGTCTTTGGTCATCTCAGGGCTTGTTTTATTTAAATATTGGAAGGTAGCCTTCACAGTATTTATGAGGGGCTCCCCTTCTAGAAGGGGAGAGAAATCTTCATCCCTCAGAGGCATTGGCCTTCCAGTTGGGAGAGTGGTCAGGCTGGGAATCAGTTTAGTTGGGGTTTCTGAAGGAGGGGGAGCTAAATCAGGTTTAAGTTCTGCCAAAGGTCCTATAGGTCGAGGTGGTACTGGTTTGGGGAATTTTCGAATTGTAAATAGGGTTCCAGGGTCTCTGCCAGATACATAGGCCCTCAGTCCCCACGTGCGGCCCGTGTCCCATTTCTGATCCATAGTAAAGACATCCCATTGTTTTAGGGTTATAATAAGAGGGTTACAAGTCTTGGGAACCATACAAGACTTATTTTTTTCTAATTGAATATTTATGTATAGATCTTGTTGCTTATACCATGTCGGGGTCCATGTTTCATATCCCCAGTATGCACAAAAGTAACTGCCCTTGTCATCACAACTAGTACCAGTGTTTGCTGGGCATGCATAGAAGGCCGTTCCCAAGGTCTTCTCTGCATGTATGGTGCTGGTTCTGCATCCAGTAGCAAGGAGGGATGTCTGTCCAGATGCTCTGGACATTGCTATTGCTACTGATTCCCCAAATGATCCCCCATAGACACTGTGGGCCTCCAATTGTTTTAGGGAGCCTAGTGTCAGCCGTAAGGAACATATGCCAGTTTTAAATTAGGGAGCAACTTGAGGGCTAGGATGTGTAACTTCCACAATAGTTTTTCCTGTTTATGTACCCGATAATCTCCAAATGTAAGTTTGGAGTTGGTAAATCCCCTGGGGGTGAGTTTCAAGAGCTAAGAAGAGTAGAATCATAATCACAATGGGGAAGTGATAGGTGGGTTTTCTTTTACCAGTCGAAGTTTTAAGCGGCCTTTTGGATGGGGTTGGACTCTCCATTTTTCTCGGTCAGCTTGGGCAGGCTTGATGTGCGACTGACGAATCCAGGTGTGCAGTCTGTCTACTTTCACTGCTGTGGGAGTTGTTAGAATCACAGTGAATGGTCCTTTCCACCGAGGGGCCAGTGTCTCCTTCTGATGGCATCTTATCCAGACAATGTCTCCAGGTTGGTAAGGATGTGGAGTAGCTGGGGACAGTTCGTGCACATGCTGGATCAAGGGGTAGAGCTGCTCCTGCACTGCCTGTAATGCCCTAATGGACTGGAGGATTTCATGATTAGATATTTCAGCCAACAGTTCTGACTTTAATCTTGGGACTAGGTGGGGGTCTTCTGAAAAGAATCTCAAAAGGAGTTATTCCCTGAATATAGGGGGAGTTTCTAGCCCTGAGGAGGGCAAAAGGGAGGAGAGTCACCCAGTCTGTGCCAGATTCTAGGGTTAATTTAGCCAAAGTCTCCTTAAGGGTCTGATTCATCCTCTCTACTTGTCCTGAACTCTGGGGATGGTATACACAATGTAGTTTCCAATCTGTCCCCAGGACCTTTGCTAAGGCCTGAATTACCTGAGAGATGAACGCTGGTCCGTGGTCAGATCCTAATACCAGGGGCACACCAAACCTGGGAGTGAGTTCATCTAGCAACTTCTTGGCAGCTGTGGTTGCCATTTCCTTCCTGGTCGGAAAAGCTTCTACCCATCCTGAAAAAGTGTCTACAAGAACCAGTAAATATTTATATCCAAAACGTCCTGGCTTTACCTCAGTGAAGTCTACCTCCCAGTGGACTCCAGGGGCAGTTCCTCTTTCACGTTTTCCTGAGGATTTATCAGTTTTTGGGTAGGCACTAGTCATCTGGCATGCCATACATCTGGAGGTGATGTCCTGTATAGTAGCTGTTGAGGAAGGAAACTGGAAACATCTGGTTAGTAATAACCTGATCTTTTCTTTTCCCATGTGGGTTCCTTCATGGAGTTGGTGAACTAGCATTTCTCACAGGTGGCGGGGAAGGATGACCTTGTCATCTGCAGTGTGTCTCCATCCTGAGGAGACATATCCATTTGGAATTGTCTGGAAATATTTGTCACCCTCTTTTGTATATGAAGGCTTTTCAGGTAACATAGGATCTGGCAGGGCTAGGAGAGCATGTTCAGACAGGGATTCTGCTATTTTCTTGGCAGTTTGATCTGCCTTTTGGTTTCCTCAGGCCTCAGGTGTGTTGTTCTTTTGGTGTCCTGGGCAATGAATGGCTGCCACTCTTTTTGGCATCCATATGACTCTTAATAAATCAATGATCTCTTGTTTGTTTTTAACAGTCTTTCCTTCTGATGTCAGGAGGCCTCTTTCTCAATAGATGGCTCCATGTACATGAACAGTGGCAAAAGCATATCTACTGTCAGTGTAAATGTTGACAAGCTTTTCCTCTCCCAGTCTTAGGGCCTGAATCAAGGCTATTAGTTCAGCCTTTTGAGCAGAGTTTCCTTTGGGCAGAGCTTCTGCCCATAAAACATCCTTCTGGGTGACTACTGTCACCCACCCCTGCATACCTGACTCCATCTCTGATGTAACTGCTCCCATCTGTGTACATCACCAAGTCAGGGTTCTTCATGTCAGTGAGATCAGGTCGACTTCCCTGGACATGCTG